ACGCGACTAGAAATAATGACAGAAGGATATAATCAACATGCAAATCACTACTGGTTGAATCATCATAGTGTTACCTCCATTTAGCCACAGCACCAGAGGTTTGCTGAAACGGTCTTCAGATTCAGTAAAATAGTAAAACAGTGCCCGGCCAGCCTTAGGATCAACAGTTACGTACCCTGAATACTGAGAGAAATTTACCTCAGGTTGTCCAGGCAAGGATAATATCTTGTCAAGTTCCTTTAATCCCTCCTGAGGTGCTACATAAACTGGTGAATAATCAGTCAACACAAGATCCTCTGCAGGATTATTGACCGATCTTTTTGAGCGTCGATCCTTAATAAATTTTCCGAGAGGGTCATATTTTCTCCCACTGTAACATTGTACAGAAACCGCGAGGCACAGAAGAGAGAGGACTAAAACAAATGCACCTCTCATCTTCACAATGCAACAGAAGGTGGACGTGGGGGATTTTGACCATTAATGTTGCTATTTTTCTTCTTTTATATAGATTTTGCTTCACTTTAAAAAACAAACAGCATTCATTGTAAGCATCGTATTTGAGTGTTCTTGTTGGTTTTACTCCTCATTGATGTTAACTAACTTTAGAAGTATTCAGTGAAGACATAGGGATAATACCAACAGAAGATTAAACTTCATAATGGGGGCTAACAGATCAGCCGGCATTGCATTGTTTATTTCTCAATTAGGTCAAATATTTGGTTTCTTGGTTTGTTTCAATTGTTTCTTTAAGAAATTTGACACCATATGCTCCAACAGTTCTTATAATTAGATTGTTTCCTTATGAATAATTAATCATTTGACAGAAAAAACAAAACAAAACAATGATTAGAACAACTTTCCTTTGTGCACATTTGAAGTAGAAAGAATACAAAACTATACCTGATTAATAAACCTGATTAAGTAATCGACTATAATTTAACCAAGAAATGACGCTAAATAAATATATGAAAACCAAATTACATTTCCAGTTCGATGAAGTCCAAGCTCAACAACCTGTTTTTGGAGGATTTGCAGATTGGTTCTGTGCATTTTTGGCTTGAATAGTAAGGTGTATAGTACAATGCTCAATGAAAAAAAAAAATAAAAAAAAAAATCTAAAGTATCATTCATGTAGTACATACTATTGTGTTCGTCCTGTCTAAAAGCATTACTCTTCTGGCTTTATATGCCAGTTCATATTTTAAATGCACCAAGTTTGAACATGAAAAGTAATAGTTTTCAAATATTTACTCTTTCTATTTTCAAACAACGAAAATAAAATAATCCAAATTGTTAATGTTCCAACGGATAAATTAATAACAACATAGGTCGTTTGAGCATGTCTTGAATAGTTTCTACGGATAAATTAATAACCTCTTAAGAGTGTGTTTGATAGGAGAGATTTTCCATGGAAAATGGGAAAGGAATTCCATTTTCCAATTTTAAGGGTGTCTGATGGCTTTATTTTCCATGGAAATGATATTCTTGGTTGCCTTGCCACATAGGATTTTTCTTGATTTTCATGGATGGTGGGAATTGGTCTTCCCGATTGCGTAGCAAATTTTTTTTTATAGCAATGGAAACGAATTTTATCTTTAATTGTAAAAAAATATTTCTCTTTAATTGATAATTTCCATGTAAAAATTTTCTTGAATTTTTTTTTTTTTTTTTTTTTGGCAATGGAAACAATTTTCATCCCCAATACAGTAAAATTTATCCCTTTAATTGACAATTTTCATGTAAAACAAAACCAAACGAACACAAAAAAAAACTTTTATTTCAATGAATTCCACGTGGAAAATTATACCAATCAAACACAATAATTTACATTTCCCAGGAAAATAATTTCTAGACAATTTAATTTCCTGGAATTTATTTTTTTCCACCCAAATTCCATCTTCACAATCAAACGGACCTAAGTAAAAGAGGTTAGTTGCAGATTTAACCGTAAGAAGATTATGTAGATTTTTGTTTTCAGTTTCTTTTTTGCAAAAATCTCTCTGTCTGACTTCTTTTTATGTGGTGTCATATACTACTGTATTTCAGTTTCTTTATTAAGGACAATTTATTCTTTGTTCAAGGTTTTGTCATGGTTCCTCACTTAGTATTCTTCCTTTTTCAGCCATTTTCATACTTCTTGTTTCACATTATTAATAGCAATATCATCATCCGCTTTCACATGTTTGGTGCTTCAAATAAGTCTTCTCAACTAACAAGCAAACTATAAAGCACTTGTCTGATCCCTCTTTCTCAGTATATAATAATTTTTTTGTGAACAAAAAATGGGATCCTCAATCGATTAAATTTTTTATTGGAAGACAGCCTATGACACTAAGACAACTTTCCTCCAAATTCATCAACTATTAGTTGGTCAAAAATACCGTTTTTGCATCAGCTAATGTCATTTAATTCATTTGGTTATGAGAAATATCGAGTTTGATTGTCGTTTTCATTTTCTTTTGACAATTTCTTGATGCGACATCATGAGTTCAACTGCTGTTTCACATACTAATGTATTTAGGTTTCTTTATTAGGAGTAGTTTAGTCTTTTTCATTGTTTAGAGGATTTTAGTTTAGTGTTTTGACTTTATGTTCTGTTTGTAACCATCATATTACTGAATATAAATTACATCTAGTTTCGCAATATCAACATCAAGCGACTGGTTTCGTGGCTAGTGAGAGTGCAAAATGTGTTTCTGTCATTCATCACATAAGGTAATAGGGTGTTATCCAAATTATGACTGTTCATCGTAAATTTATATTTTATCAATATGACGTGACCTGCTTATATTAGTCTTTACAAAGACAATACGAAAAAGATCAGTTCAAACATTTTACTCGCGTGTATCTCTACTTCTGTTTACTCTGTTTCGGAGGAAGCTTTCCCTGTAAGAAGGATGAGAAGAAGATTAGTGCTCGCTCAGGCTGGTAACTCGGAACAAAATGTCCTGCTCCTCTTATGGTCACAAATGTCACGTTTTGGTATTCAACTACATAACCTCCGACCTTGAAAGGGATAAAGAAAGGGTGTTAGGATAGTGGAGGCGTCAAGAGCTAAAGAAGGTTACAAAGTGAGTTTTTCTTAGTTACCTCGCCTTGGGAGTCCCACGGATACCATGGAGTCTTTACAGGTGCCCCAAGTTTGGGCATTGAATACCTAGTTGTTGTAACTGGTATTATCCCATCTATATCTCCGGTGCACATTCTTTGAAAGTTTGCACAATGTTAAATAACAGAAGTTTTCAGGGATTATTTGCTAGTTGCTAGTGATATATAAATGAAACTGTAGTTAAGAATCCATTATTTTCTTTTCTGGGTTCAATTAGCAGACACACTTTTAGCAAGTATGCCAAATGTTGACCTCGAAAGTTGGACCTTCCACGTGACCAACCGATGGCTACTCCACGTATTTCTCCCTGCGCACAATACGCACACGGCCGGAACCAGCAAGGGTGGTGGCGGCCGTATATACTCCGATAGTTAAGTCAGGTTTAGGCGGTCGGAACAGTACCCAGGGGTTGTGCCAAATAATAATAAGGGGGAGGAGAAAATATATAAACTTGTTATGGAGTGCTATGTAGTAAGAGTTTCATTACCTTTACCTCTTGCCAAACCTTGGGTATTTATAGGTGGGATGAACCGTTAGATGTGAGACACGTGTATACATCTGACAGTATGAGACAGTATGAGGCGTCCGCTCATAGGCGTCAATCGGCCGCGTCTGTAAAGTGGGCGAACAACTTGTTTCTCCTGAGTTGAATTAACATAAAGTTGATAAATCACATCAACTAGCTTCATGGAGATGTCAAATCAATTTAAATCTTAGGTGCAGAGAGGATCTTGGCACAAATCTCTTTCTGAAATTGACGGCGGATCTTCTGACGGGGGTCCACTTTACCTCGGACTCTGAGGCAAGAACCTTCGATCAGTTCAGCAGGATCGCCTATACCTCGCAGTGTACTATTAGGTTGTTGACATTGGTGATATCACTTCGGAAACACTTCGGACGGGTGTATATCAGGTCGGAATGTGTGGCGGTGGGCGTCCCGAGGCAGTTCAGATAGGGGCGTAACAGTGGTCCCCCCAAGTCCAAGTATGAATATTTATATCGTGGGTGGACTTGCTTTCCTGACCGGATGTATATGTCTCGATACTGGTGACCACTACTCGTGGGAGCTTGGAGGTCGATCTTTTGCAGTAATCGAAGCCATGATCTTAGGACCAAGGCGATGACCCAGAGGGAACTCATGTTAGGCGCGTGTAGGCTATGCGAAGTTGAGTGAGGAACTCATCTGCCATCGGTGCGCTGACCCACTTGGGACGACGCACTGGGAAATGGCTAAAACTTTGTGAAGCTTAGGAGGGAACGCACCTTTCGAGGTGATGAACCAGAGGGGACTCCGCGTCGGGTGCGTCGAAACTTTGTAAAGTTGAGTAGCTCATCTGCCACCGGTGCGCTGACCCACAGGGTCGAGGCGTTGGGAGATGGCTAAAACTTTGTAAAGCTTGGGAGGAAACGCAGTGTCCGAGGCGATGACCCATAGGGGACTTCGTGTCAGGTGCGTCCAAGCTTTGTAAAGTTGAGCAAGGAGCTCATCTGCCACCGGTGCACTGACCCACAGGGCTGACGCGTTAGGAGATGGCTAAAACTTTGTTAAGTTTGGGAGGGAACACGGTGTCCGAGGCGATGACCCACAAGGGACTTCGCACCAGGTGCGTCCAAGCTTTGTAAAGTTGAGTGAGGAGTTCATTTGCCACCGGTGCGCTGACCCACATGGGCCGACGCGTTGGAAGATGGCTAAAACTTTATAAAGCTTGAGAGGGAACGCAGCGTCCGAGGCGATAACCCACAGGGGATTTCACGTCAGGTGCGTCCAAACTTTGTAAAGTTGAGTGAGGAGCGCGATCCGAGACGATTCAAACGTCAAATGATTTGACAACTGTTGCGTATTTCCAAGGTGGCAGTTGGGTGTCATGCCCATTCTCCTAAAAGGCTGCTATGGGTATTCATTATTATTGACGGCTGGTGGTGACCAAGGTGACGCGTTTTAAGCGAGCGTGAAAGTCACAGCGACATCTTGGGCGTAGATCAAATCTGGCATTTCATTTCAACGTCCTAGATTCAAGATGTGACGAACGGCTTAGATTGATCACATTTGACTTCAACGGTGGAGGTCGGATGGGTTTTTCTATAAAAGGCGGACTCACCTTACACCATTCCCGGCAAGGAAAACCTTCAAACTCGTAAGTTTCAGTACCTTTTAAGATTTTTAAATTCTGAAAAAATGGCCTCTGAGGGGAGTTCTGGTTCGAGGAGGGGGTTAGAACTAGTGAGGATGGACGACCCATTGTGACGACATCCTCAGAAATAGCCAAGGCGATAATAGGGGGAAAAATATATGGAAGCGATCGGATAGCCCAGTAGATACTTCTGTGAACTGGGGGGCATCGGACTACCCATCTAAATTACGAGAGGCCAGCTTAGGGAGACTTAGGACAGAGTATAGGATCCCTGATAGCATAGATTTGATCCTCCCCGAGCCGGAAGAGAGGGCCTACTACTTTAGGTCGGATTTTGTGGCCATTAGCAAGGCGATCCTTAGGGCCGGATTTAGGCTGCCAATTCACCCATTCTTTAGGATGGTGCTATGGTGGGCTCCTGGATGTTGTGGAAAGAGGCGTCATTAGGGGTGGAGATGCCCCTCTCTGTCTTCCAGACCCTTTATATACCTAAGGTAACTGCCGGGGGTAGTACTACCTTACTTCATGGGGTTCCCACACTCCATTCGTG